GAATACAGTATATATGTTTTGAAACAAAATGGTCTCTTGTTTTGGAAGTGAAAATACAATGTAAGTATAGTCTTGGTTTCTAGCAAGCGACTGATCAAATGCATGTATATTTAATTTTCTGACAAGCTTCCAGAAGAGTGCAGGATTTTGGGAGGGTCGGGAATCCTGTGATTAAATCATGTTCTTTGGAGTAGTGATTGAAACTGTGATTTAAATCAAATCCACCCTACTAAAGAGTAAGATTTTCTTGGGGCACAGATACCCCAGAAATTGAATATAAAAATGTTCTGTGCTTCTGCTTTTTATTAATATCACCAAAACGTTAAAGAGTTGATTTTTTTAGGTTAACAACACCAATTGGCACAGACAGATTGGGTACATGAGCCTGTATGGTGCGCATGTCTGAGCCAGGTAGCATTTGCATAATGAAGTGCTTTGCTGCATGCACAGTTGGCAGCTCAGACTCTATTGACTGCTCCATTGCAAAGCTGCACAGGCTGAACTGAACAGGAATACATTAAGTCTGTGCTGAACTGCATGTTGCTGAGAGGAGACACGGTCTCCTAATTACTTCCACCAGGTCAGCTGAGCCCCCAAAGACTCAACCTAATGTCCATCTCACCACATGAATTGGTCAGGTTCTTTACTGACTGGTAACTGTTGAGGAGACAGAGTATAATATTTTGCTTCCTCTAAATTGGCTTTTTGGTTGAGTGTTTTTGGCCTGTTTTTCGCAGTTGAACTGCCTCCATCCATACCATTTCCACACCACCTGCTAAGATTCATACTCTGAAGAAGGGGACTTGTACAAGATAGCTCACATTAAAATATAGCAGTTAGTCTGTAAGGTGCCATCACATTTTTGTCTTTGTTTATTATTATTATTTTTAGTTAGTTAGTTAGTTAGTTTGTTCTGGCCTAAGAGCCACAGTGTTTCCCTGAATAGATGACAACTGAAAATTTAATACACTTAGAACAAAGTCTATAATTCAATATTTAACATATGTTGAAGTAATTGGGTTCTTGTGTACTAAAGACTGGGAAATATGATTATTTCTCTGATTCTTCACGTCAGATGTTTATAATGTAGCAGCACTCTTGTGTATCCCTCATCTCTGTAATGAAAAAAGACATTTGCCTTCAACACAGAAACAGTTTCTGGAAGGTGGGTAGTCAAATTATTATTACTGTAAAAATCACAAAGATTTTTTATGATTTTGGCTAACACTTATGGGCTAACGCTTCCTTGGACATACACTTTTGTGGACTAAATCCCACTTCATTAGTCTCAAGACCTATATTTGCTATAGCTGCTTTTCTGGCAGATGCTCCTGATTCAGTCCTGCCGCTTATGAGCAAAACAGAGCTATATTTATTTATTTAAAATATTTTTACCTGTCTTTCTCCTTAAAAAGGTGGCTTACATAATTAACAGACCATATTTAAAGCTAAAAACAGTAAGTATACAAATACCACAAAGAATTGAACAAATACCACACCAAAAAAAGACAGAAGTTACATCAAAAATACATTCAAAGCAGCAAGGCATTTATGAGCAAAACAGAGCTATAGTTATTTATTTAAAATATTTTTACCTGTCTTTCTCCTTAAAAAGGTGGCTTACATAATTAACAGACCATATTTAAAGCTAAAAACAGTAAGCATACAAATACCACAAAGAATTGAACAAATACCACACCAAAAAAAGACAGAAGTTACATCAAAAATACATTCAAAGCAGCAAGGCACAGCAATCCATTAAAAAAGCCCACTCAGGCAGCCAGTCACTCAGAGAAAGCTTGCCTGAAGACAAAGGTCTTTGTCTGCTTGTGGAAGGACAGCAAAGATGGGGCCAGCCGGGCCTCCACTGGGAGGAAGTTCCAAAGTCTGGGAGCATCAAGAGAGAAAGTCCCCACCAAACATACCTATGAAAGTGGTGGGACTGAGAGAAGGGCCTCTGCTGATGATCTTAACATCCAGGCAGGGAGATGTGGTCTTTGAGATACTGTAGCTTGGACACAAGCCACTTAGGGATTTATAGGTTAGAACTAGCACTTTGAATTAATGTTGGGACCAAGAGAAAGGCCTCTCTTGAGATCTTAACACCTGAGCAGGCTCATAGAGGGAGATGTGGCTCTTGAGATAGCTTGGACCCAAGCCATTTTGGGCTTTATAGGTTAGGATCAGCACTTTGAATTCTGTCTGGGAATGGATTGGCAACCAGTGGAGCTGCTGTTATTGGGAGGGTTTGTGTTCCCTGTAACCAGCACCAGTTAGAAATCTGGTTGCAGCATGGAGGTGAACAATTGGAGCCCATATCTATAGCCATTACTTCTCTTGCTGTCCATGTTTGGGAGAGGGAGTCTATGTCTCTGCTTTTTATAGAGACAGTCATTCTGATCCTTTACACATTACATAAGTCAAAACATGTCCTGTGCTCATAGAACTCACTAATTTTTTTTTAAAGATGCTTTCAGAAGAGAGAAACTGTAGATGAGGGATACACAAATGGAGAGATAACACAAATAATATTGCACCAGGGGAAAACTGTATTTCTTCATTATGGTCTCCGTGCCTAGTTTTTATATTTCCAAAACATTATTATGTCCAAGCATCTAAATAATTCTGCTTTGATACACAAAAGCTTGTGAAAAATAAATACAGTGGTGCCTCGCACAACGAGTGCCTCACACAACGATGAATTCACACAACGATGCCTTTTTCTGTTAAATTTGCCGCCTCACACAGCGATGTTTCCTATGGGGGATTTTCACACAACGATCTCCCTTTTCGCTCCTGTAAAAGTGTCTTACAATGTTTGGACGCCATTTTAAATGATTGCAATGGTTAGTCCACCTCCTGAAACCTATGCAAACTGATTTTGGTGTTGTTCTGACACTTCGTTAATTTATGATGATTTTTTGAATTTTCTCCATTGGAAACCATTGGATGGTCACAGCAGCCTTCTAGGCTAGAAAACTTTTGGCCTTACACTATGACACTCTGTTTAGTCTTAAAGGTGCAACAGTACTTCCGGTTTCTCATGGGTTAGTCCTTTGCGTGCACACTGCGTCTCAAAGTCTTCTAGAGCAAAAGGATTTTGGTGGGAGGCCTGCCCAGCTGACCATTCTTTCAGTTCTCCTTTGGCTCTTGACAACTTGACTCTGATACAGTCTTGTTGGCTTTGACCCTTAAAGCATTTGAATGTTATGATTTAGGGCCAGGTAGTACAGATCATCGTGGGTAGGGCGACTGTCATGTTCTGCCTCAATAAACAGCGCCGCTTGTGTTCAGTCTCAACCTAACCCTAGCAATCTGGTACTGCTACCTCTTCTGAGCTATCCACCTGCTAGCAGATACCTTCTAGGCAAGCAGAATGAAACAGCAGAAGCGCTCAGCTTCTCCACCACCATGTCTTGTGAGTAGCAACTCCTTTCAACAGTGGCTCAGCAGCTTTTTCAGCAGTGGGGACAGCCCTCTGCCAACTTCTTTACCTCCCCAGTCAACACCTATTTTTGCACCTGGGGCCCCCTCCCAGAAGTGGCCTGTAATAGATGTATTCTTGTACTCCTCACATAGCTCACTCTTCTATGTGTTTCCTCACATATCTGGTCAGAATGCAGGATGACTGCATACACTGCATTCTCATGCCCCTACGGTTGCCGCTCTCTCAACTCCCCGTAGACTCCTGTTTCCTTGTCCCCCAAGTGAAGACCTTCCTCATAGGCGTTCACCATCACCACCCCCATACTTGAACCTTAACCTATCAAGGCTTCACAGTCACCCTTTCAGACTTATGGTGATATGTGATCTCTGGCTTTTCTCCCCAAGGGTTGCTTTCCTTGCGGTGATCACAGCAGCCTTCTAGGCTGGAAAACTTTTGGCCTTACACTATGACACTCCCTTTCTGGACTCCCACGAGGAGAAAGCTGCCCTTCAATGAGACACACACTGTCTCCCCCAAAATAGTTTCCCACTTAAATATGGGACAGGACATAATTCCAAGCACCAGCTATCCATGCCCCACCTCCACATAAGTGGTTGCCCTCTTCACAGATGTCAGGAGAGCAATTGCTTCCTACCTTCGAAAGACCAAACCTTGCCAACAGGAGGTATGCCTCTTCATTGTTTTTAGTGGTCCCCAGAAAGCCTCACACATTTCCACCCGAAGAATCTCCAAACGGGTCAACGGGTACCATCTGCATAGCCTATGACCTTGCCTCTGCCCTTTATCTAACTGGAACGTGCACTCAGTCCACCAGGGCAGTTGCTTGTTTCACAGCTTGGATATACTGGTCCCCATAAGCCATTTGATGTGCTGGCTACAGGGTCCTACCCATTGTTTTTCATCCAACAGTACTGCCTTGCTGTCCAGGCTCTCCACAGTACAGTATTTGGAGCAACATTATTGTCTTTAGCACTCTGGTGATGTGTCAAATTAGAAAGAAAGATCCCAGGGTATATATGGATCTTATGAAGCCTAGGGTGACCACATGGAATGCATTATGAGGCCTAAAGTGGGAAGAAGAGAAGGAAATTGGCTCAGAGGTTATGGAATATGTGTATGAAACTGTGACATTTGTCAAGTTCTGTTTACGCAAGGACTGGAGGTGGTGAACCAGTCCCATGGGCAATCTCATCTCCGAATCATTGACGACCTCAGTAACTCCAGTGTGACATTAGGGGCACAGTGCTAAAAGGATAAGCCTGCCACTAGGGAATACTCCAGGTTCCTTGCTGTGGTCCTAAGATATATGTTTCTTTTGGTGCCATCCTTTGGCTGAGAGTATAAAGATAGATGCTGGTCACTTTGCTTAAACTCACTGATTCTTCTGACAGGAGCCTAGAATACAGTGTTTATGGCCATATCCAGATGTTTGTAAATCCAGTGTCTGTTGGACATTACAAGCTTTGTCAAAAAGTCAAGAAATAAAATATCATATTAGTGTGCAAGATACTTCTGGAAATGTTCATGCTGCTGTGTCTTCTTTTTCTTACAGTTGTTTATCCTGTGTAAATGGATCTTTCCCTTGCCACTGGTGTAAATATCGTCACATTTGTACTCACAATGCAGCTGACTGTTCCTTCCTAGAAGGACGTGTCAACATGTCTGAGGTAAGCAATCAGCTCTGACTTAAATTATTCCATTTTCTTGATTTTTATTTTTCTCCTCCTGTCTTCTGTGCAATGCCCCATGCATTAAAAGCAAAACACCCTTTTACCATTTTATAAAGACTTAATTCAGTAGTCAGGAAGTAATTCAGTGTACCATCCACTATGCACTAGATAATCAGTGTTCAGAGTTCTCTTCTGGACATCATTGTGTTGGAAAAGAGAAAAGGGCCCAAGAGACAGCCACAATGATGAGAGATAATGTAGAAGACACATTACCTTGTAGAAATCTGAATGGCCTTAAGATATTTAGCTGATGAATGGTGGTCAGATAAAAAGGCATTGGTAGCGAGGATGCTGGCAGGTTTGAAATTCTTAAGGATAGTGCAGAAGGGAGAGAACAAGCAGATGTTCTTCATTTTTGCTGATAAGGTGAAAAGGAACAGCATCTATACACAGGAGGGGAAGTTTTGGTTCATTTATGAGAAATGTTTACTGCTGTTCCATTAGATGTTTTGATTCCAAGTGCATTTATGGAAACAACCCTTACAGCTTTTGATGGAATTTACTGCTAAGTACAAGGATACTTCCCAAAGCTTGCCCTAATCTGAGTAAGTGATTCAAGCAAGCATGGTACTTCTTCGATTATATGTTTCTGTGTGTGGTGGGATGCTGTGGCTGACAATGAAGGGAAACCTGCTTCTACTTATTTACTCTTTTGTTACCCTGGTATACAGTCAATGTCCAGGCCATTAGAAGTGAAACCTCCAGGCCAGAAAGTCAGTTACCAAGAGCTTGCTATTACATGTGCAGGATCTTTCCTTCCTTCCTTTCCCTGTCTCATTCTTACCATTTCTGTCCTCAGGCAAGGCATTAACCCTTTTCCTGCTGCATTTCCTGAGCGTTCCTCCCATAAACCAGAGTTTAGATTGTTCGGTTGGCTTCTAATCTACTTTACCAGGGAGGCACCTAGAGAAATCACCACAGTATTTTGTACAACACCAAGTGTCCTTAAAGATGAGTTTACTGTGCTGGCTGTGTGGAAATGGAAAAGATCAATTTCTTCACATTTTGATATATTTTATAAAATGCAAATTTCTTGTCCAGCTGCAAATGTGAATTGTCTTGGTGAGTCGAATGATCCTAAATCCACCTGCCCTGCAGAAAGGAAACACCTTGAAACTGTTTCTGAAACTAATCCCTATAATCATTTTAAGCATTTGCTACTTAGGTGCAAGCTTTCACAGAGGCATGGAAAGAGTTTGGCTTTTACAATACAAGGGAATAAAATAATGCTAAAATGATGTAATAGAATGGATAGTGAACTTGGAATAATCAAAGAGTTCACTTCAATACCTTTGTCATTGTCGTGAGTTTCTTTCATACTGTAATGTGACCCCCTCCCAATGAAAGACTCATATTTTCAGTTAGCTTGTATATTCTCTCGAAGATCGCACATTTGAATATTCCATCTATAACAGCAGTTCTAGCTGTTCTGTCGTTACCAGATGCCTATTGTGCTCCTGAAAGCTGAGCAAGTAATGAAGGGTTCTACTTAAAACAGGGATTGTCAGCTCTGTACATTGTTGCATGTAACTTTGAGTTGAAAATAGGTCTCTAGTAATAAAGCGTCAGTTGATGTGGTGCTTACTTTTGCAGCCTCTTTTAAATTCTAGTGTTTAGCCTTGCAAAGAATGAAGTTGCAATTTTAAAAGGAGGCAGAGTTCTAACATATACACAGGAACTTTCTTTTATCACAAGCTTTATCCAACATTTATAATGAGAGTGAAATCTCTGTGAATTCAGGGGCAAGCTGCAGCACCGGTTTATCACTGTTTTAAACACTAGCCACGTTTACACATATTGCCAAACCTGAAATCCTTGCTTAGTAAAACATAATGTAGATGAGCAATGTGCCGATGTGCAGGCAGACCAGCTGCATCTACATTGCTTCTCCCTTCATGCAGGCAGCTAAGCAAAACAGAAAGTTAATGCTTTGCATTATCGTCTAAACATGGGAGTACAGATTATTGCACCAAAGAAGCCAGGATTACAAATCATATTTAAAACAAAGTTAGTTATTGATAACATTGTTGTTCATGACAGATATTGCAACTAATTTAGATGACTTACATTATTTTAGAGTAGGATTTCCAGCCTTCTTCAGTTTTGTGACAGCTAGATGGATTAGTTTCCCCAAAAGGGTCTTACATTAATTTTTGCTCCAAAAAATGCATTAGGGCTTATTTTCAGGGGATTTTTTTTTCATGTACAACAATTTACATTTATTCAAATACAGTCATGTCATCTTCTGGTTGCTGCGCAATGGTGGAGGGTGGAGTTTCACTTAACTGGGGCTTTTTTGGGGTTATATTACGAGCATCCTGAAAAATCATACTAGGGCTTATTTTCAGGTTAGGGCTTATTTTGGGGAAAACTGTAACAACTGTCATCTTCCATGTAATCCACCATGTGTGAAGGCATGAGATGAGGGAAAGCTAAATGAAGCTATTCTGTATCTTTTTCTTCCAAAATAAAGGCTACGTGTGAAATGGTGCACAGATGGGTGATGTCAAGGCATGCAATTCTCATATCTAGAGATATAGCAGGACTCCTACTAGTTATTTATGCAAGTGTTAAGTTTGGTGTCATAAATCACAGCAGCAAATTGTCATTGGCTAGCAAGTGGGCACTTGCCTTCCTTGTCACATGCCAGGTCACATGACTGGTGTGTGACAAGCAATACAAGCAGCAATTCCTTAACTAGCACTAATTTGCCATTGAGATTCACACCATTGTATTTCTGGCAGTGTTAAATAACCAATATGATTCTGGCCAATGCTTCAAAGCCATCTGTGTTACTGAGAACTATTACACCTAGATTAGAGTTGGAGAACCTTTGGGCTGCCAATTATTTTGCATTTCACCTTTCAAAAGTAACAGCCAGGATGGCCAGTGGTCAAGGAATCTGAGAGTTGTAAACCAATATGCCTGAAGGACCAAAGTTTCCTGGCTCCTGACCTAGAAGATAGAGAAAAGATTATGTGCTAATAGAAGATCCAGTGACAGGTCATCAGAAGCTTAAAATCAGCAACCAGAGTTTTAGCAAGATGACCTTTCAAGTGGGAACAACACATGGTTTGAGTAGAGGGGACACGGTTTGATCCCACCCCCCAAATGCCATTTTTTGGGTCTGAGAGCTCCACTTGTCTCAGGCCACCAGTGCTTACTTACAAGCTACCTTCTACCGGTAGTTCCAGAGACAATTGTGTGCTGTCTCTGAGAAATGAGATTAATGAAGTTATTTTGGTCTGTTATTGTGGTTTCTGCCTTTTTAAATTATTACTTTGTCCTGCAAGAAAGGCAGCAGGTGCTATTTCCATACCGTTCACTGGCTGTTTGTTTTTTTTGTGAAGAAAACCACCTCTGAGTCTTAAGACGCAATGGCAAATTAAGAGCACATTCCCATAGCTACTAATTCGCTGGCAAACAGCTAAGTGTACTGCAAGCCATATGTGGGAAAGAGTGAAATTCAGATCTGCCTTGTCATGTCCACAGAGGTCTCGTTGTCAGATCTGTAAGGCCATAAGAGCCTTCTCTGCCTTTTCAGAAAGCGCTTTGGCCAAACCATAAACAGGGATGTGATATGTTAAGAGGTATTTGATATTCAGTACGGTCAGCAAGATGTAGAAGAACCTGTGTGAAAAGGACGCTGTAGGGTCAGAAGACATCCTGTAATGCCTCAATGCATCTTTTAGTCTTAAAGGGACAAGGATTTTGCTGCCTTTTGCTTCGTCTTTGCTGTAGCTCCAGTTGAGAAGAAGGCAGCAGAGGCTAATGAGCTGTACCTTAAGGGGTGGAGATTGGGCTGGGCTGGGTTGGCAAGACCTATGCTTGAAAGAGGAGGAGGAGGAGGAGGAAAAAGAAAGTGGGGACACTATGGCTCAGACTTGTCGCCCCCTGTGGACTCTGATGGGAGGAGGAATGAGAAGAGACTGCAGAAGAACCGATTGATGGAGGTCCAGAACTCATGGACTGGACAATAGTATTGTTCCGGCCTCTAAAGAGCAAAGATGCAGTGGAGGCAAACTTCTTTTCAGTCCAACAACTCTGATGACCTTCTGGAGACCGATATCACCTTCTGGAGCACCCAAGCCCCACTCCCACCCAGAGGAAGTTCTGGTGGCAGAAGAAATGCTTCCGGCAGAGCTGCCAAAGGCAGGACACGCTCAGGGGACGTGGAAGAGTCCAACAGCATAGCATTACTGGCTCTCTTTAAAGGGTGTAAGCTGACTGGGGTCAGGGTGGAAAACTAGATCTCAGCCATGGAGTGTAGACTGTACTGATCCAGTGGTGGGAACTCAGGCCTGGGTGAGGACTGGAAGCACAAAGGGGGTAGTGGAGCTAACTAACTCCCCTGCAGGCTTGTCAGGACTGGGAGAACCAGATGCCCAACCATATTTTGTATCCTGCTCCTACCTTAATAAAAACCAAGTGGCAATGAGAGTCTGGACTTCATGGTGCCCATGGGCGAGGAGACTCTCCCGGCCACCCCCACTCTGGTCAGAAAGACTAATATCTCCCCTCCACTTTTGGTCTCACTGGAGTTTTTCTCCTTGAAGAACGAAGTCTGTTTGTTCAACTGAAATGTATCCCTCCTTTGCCCGGCTTGTCTCAGTTTTCTCTTTGTGCTCAGATGTACTCAGGCTTAACTCTTCGGGCTTTCTTTTTGTGGGCTGTTTCGTTTCTTGGACGATTCTGCACAGAGCTGTGCTGTCTTCAGCCTGCCTTGGCGAGGTCTACAATACTGTGGCCAGCCTGACAGTCTCTGTGTTGCATTTGATGGATCCCATTCTAATATCTAGCTGTGAGTGCTGGCGTAGGCGAGCTGCCCTCAGCTATATTTTTCACTTCCCCCCTCCCTGTGTCATTTCCCCACCGTGACTCCTGTCTTGCAGCCACTCCAGGCTGACGAGTGTCGGCTCCACATTTGAAGAGGTCAA